TACATGGTACAACAGGCACATATCAGGAATATAAAATGTTGGGATTACATATTCTTTAAAACATATAGAACTATACACTATCTCGATTCGATTTGTGTTTAAGAGTTTTTAATGTGTTTAAAGTTTATGCAAATCACCAGTACCCAGACTAAGTATTTTAAGTAGTAAAATAAATTTTCCACAGGAAACTGCCAGGGAACAGTAAAAACAAATGGTTGAACCACGGTTTTACTGCCCATCTAGAAGTTACCATACAACAAAGGGAGCTGTACACATGCCATGGCCAGGATGCTAATCATGTGGAGTTCAGAGTACAATGACACAGTAGGGAGTGTTCCTCCATTTACCTCAATTGTGTGGATGGGGAAATTCATTCTGGTTTTTTTTTTTTTTTGATCGGCTGGCTGATCAAAAAAAAAATGGATACATGTATGGCCCTCTTTAGAGTCTTTGTTGTAATCCTCAAGGATAAATTACCTCACAGTACATGCATCTAGAGAGGTCAGTGATAGTATGTTTTAAATAAAGGTAATATTTGTTAAGAATGTGTGAAAACTTGTCCATAGTCTGGGATCAGGTGCACTTTAAAATAATGAAGTAATACAAGGCCATTTTTTTTTTTAAATGTTGCCCTATATTTCTACTTGTTTCAACCTGATGATCCTGCCAGTTTTAAGTACCTTGGATTATTTTCAGGAGAGAGCTGACAACACTACTAGATCACTGCTGAAAGCTGCGTTGTCATCCTCTTCCCACCGCATGGGCATGTCTTAGCCCGGCCTGTACTGAACAATGACAAGACAGGACCGGATATGGTGTGTAAGTGTCCCTTGCATACACACCTTCAGCCAATGCTGCACTGGATGCAAACAGAGCTAAGGCAGATTATGTGATCACTAGCAAATCTTTAAAAAAAAAATATTTAAAAACATTTTTGGAATTGCTTGGATCTATCTGTGCTGTTTGGCAGGGGTACCTGAACACAGATCTGTCGGTACAGAATTACATATGCATTGGCAGGTAAAACAGATCCCATATACAGTGTTCAACATAAATGAGTGCACCCTTTATGAAAGATAAGCAGGGGCGGACTGACCATTTGGAAACTCGGGCACCGCCCGAGGGCCTGGGGTCAGTAGGGGGCCCATGAGATGCCCCTGGTACCTTTTTCATAGGCTTTTTTGAGTTTGGGCAAGGATACAGGGGCCCCATGATCCCCTATTGCCCGGGGGCCCCATGAGTTGTCAGTCCGCCCCTGAGAGTAAGATTTTAAACAATACCTCAATGAACACAAGAACAGTTTCCAAAATTTTGACAAAATTGAGTTTTATGCAACATTTGTTTAGCTCCTTTCATGGAAGTAAGGTTAATAATATAATTTAGATTAGATAATCTTCAGTTTTACTCAAAATCGTTGATGCAAAAATGAATACACCCCACAACAAAAATTACCACATCTAGTATTTTGCATGACCTCTATGATTTGTAAGGACAGCACCAAGTCTTCTAGGCATGGAATGAACAAGTTGGTGATATATTTATTTATTTCATGTACTTATATAGCAACGTCACTTTACGCAGCACTTTACGTATATATTGTACATTCCCATCAGTCCCTAACCCTCAAGGGGTGTACAATCTACAGTCCCTAGCTTACATTCATACATACACAAACTAGGACAATTTAGACAGGATCCAATTCACCTACCAACATGTGTTTGGAGTGTGGGAGAAACCCAGAGTACCCGGAAGAAACCCACGCAGGCACAGGGAGAACATGCAAACTCCAGGCAGGTGGCGCCGTGGTTGGGTTCGAACCAATGACCCTAGTATTGCCAGGTGGAAGTGCTAACCATTTAGCCGCTGTGCTGCCCAGTATTATAACATCTATCATTTTTCATTCTTCAAGAACCATCTCTTTTAGAGCCTGGATGCTGGATGGAGAGTAATGCTCAACTTCTTCTTAGGTGTTCAATTGGGTTCAGATCAAGAGACATACAGATCAAGAGACGTACTTGGACTCTGTTCTTCTTCAGGAATGCAACAGTGGCCTTAGATGTGTGTTATGGATCATTGTCATGTTGGAAAAGTGCACAACGACCAAAGCCATGGAATGTTGGTGGCATCTTCTCTTTCAATATAGAGCAATGAATCTGTGAATTCATGATGCCATCAATGAAATGCAGCTACCAGACACCAGCAGCACTCATGCAGCCCCACAGAAGGACACTGCCATCACCATGTTTCACTGTAGGCACCATGCATTTTTCTTTGTACTCCTCACCTTTGTGACACCATACAGTTTGGAAGCCATCAGTTCCAAAACGTTTATCTTGATCTCATCACTCCAGAGTACAGAGTGTCAGTAGTCTTCTTCTTTTCAGCATGGGCCTTGGCAAATTCTAGGCTGGATTTTTTGTACATGGGCTTTAGGAGAGGCTTCCTTCGTGGATGACACCCATACATGCCATTCCTCTGAGTGTATGCCGTATTGTGTCATAGGAAACAATCACCCCAGTTTGGCTTTCTACTTCTTTAGCTAACTGCAGGGAAGTTGCATGACAATTTTCTTCAACCTTTCTCATCAGAAGATGCTCCTGTGAGGTGTTAACTTCCGTGGATGGCCTGGATGTCTCTGTGAGATGGCTGCAGTTCCATCTTTGTTAAATTTTTGTATCCTGTTTGCTTCAGTATTCTGATTGATAAGTAAAGCTTTGCTGATCATTAAAAACGAACTGTGAAAACAGACAAAAAGCAAACTGCATAGGTGTGAACGGGGCCTAAAGATTTTCTGACATATCTGTTAGGGTGTACTCATTTATACTGAGCACTGCATATATTTCAGCTGTGTATTTAGCTGCTTGCATGAAGTCCAGCTTTAATCTTAAAGTGATATTAACCACCTCCCGCCCGCCATATACTCCAATGACGGATGCAAGGTGGTTCTCTCGTTCAGGGAGGACGTCATATGACATCCTCCAGGAAAAGCACCAGTTGCACAGCTCCCAATGTACACAGGACGATGTCTTTTGGCACCCTGCCTTATGAAGGTCGGTGCTCTCTGTGACTGTGCTTGCAGCCTAGTGCTGCCATCTCTTGGCATATTAAAAAACTAGTCTTGGAACCTTTTGATATCTCCTTGTGCATCACAATACATATTGTCCCATTGTCACCCTAGCACATGAAGTATGTTACTGGCACCATATAAAAGTTATAGAAAGATTAAAACTAATGCAGCCACCACATTTGAGGACTGGTATTATACAATATATTATATTTTTGTTTTTCGATTTAGATACACTATTCATTGCATTTTTAGGATCCATTGGACTGAATAAAAATAAAATTACGGTGACACGGCCTCTTCAAATACCTAAACGCTGCAATCAGGAAGCATTTTATTACGCTGCTTGCAAACATTCCATTGTAAACTGAAAGTAGAGTCAGGGCATTCCTGGGCCTGACACCAACGCTGTTTTTTTTATTTGTGTAGCTAAGCAAGCTATAGCAAGGCTTGGCTGTGAAAGGAGCTACTTATAATGACAATACCGATGTGAGCTGTTGATATTACTGTGTACTAGCAGTTCCCTAGGAGCTGACGGCTTCACATACCTCTTTCAAGATATCATATAAAGCATAATCAGTATCAATTGCACATTTGATCATTTTTTATTGCTCAAGCATCATTGCTTCAGAATGGTCCTGCCCGAGTGCATAGAAGACGGGTCATTTCTACGTGTCTGAAAGTTTCTTAAAGCCGTATTAAACCCAAAAGCAAAAATGTATTACATTGCAACTTACCAATTCTTAGATGTGATGGCTGCATTAGTTTTCTTTTTTTAGGTTTTCAGTCTTTTATTTTCAGCTGGTCATCTGGCCATTAAGTCTGATGGTTTTCAGCAGAATAGGCGGTCCTGCAGATGTAGCAGTTAGAGGATTGAGACACACGATTTACCACTGACAGGGTTGCTTACAATGATCTGCTTATATTTATTTTATGTAAAACCTTTATATCAAAAGGAATAGAAAAACGGGTTGCTGTAACTGATTGTAAAGTATTAGCAGGTAGTTTGTCTTCAGTTTATTAGTGTATCTAAAGCACAGGTGTCAAACTGGTGGACGTCCAGCTGTTGCCAAACTACAAGTCCTATGAGGCATTGCAAAATTGACAGTTACAAGCATGACTCCCAAAGGTAGAGGCATGATGGGACTTGTAGTTTTGCAACAGCTGGAGGGCTGCCAGTTTGACACCCCCGATCTAAATCTTCTTGTACATCTAACAATCCCCTCCCCCCCAGACTGACCATGCTGTTGTCCAAAGGTGTCTCTGTGCTCCTTCATCCAGAGTGGAGGCCCTCTAATACATGAGGTGTATTACTGGCCAGATCACCAGTGAAAACAGAGGTGAAACAGCCTAAAAAAAGAAAACTAACGCAGCTACCACATCCAATGATTGGTAAGCTGCAATATATAAAAGTTTTGGTTTTGGGTTCAATACTGCTTTAAGCAATGGAGTCCAGGATATGGTTCACTTAAAGCGATTCTAAAGGTTCATTTTTTTTTAAATAACAAATATGTCTATACTTCCCTGCTGTCTGCTGTGTACAGTGTTTTTTTACAAAGCAGCCTGGATCCTCCTCTTCTTGGGTCCCCAGCAGGCTCTCCTGACCCTTCCTTTCTGTCGGGAGCCCCCACAGCTTGCTATGGGGGCACCCAATGCTCTGTGTTTCCATTCACACAAGGAGCCATGGCTTGCCCCCCTCCTCATTGGCTGACTGGCTGCGATTGACAGCAGCGGGAGCCAATGACTCCCATTTGCTGTCTCAGCCAATGAGGAGGCAGTGACCTGGGACAACTGAGGCTGTTGTTCACATCACTGCATCATGATGGGGCTCAGGTAAGTATTAAGGGGGCTGGGGGTGCTGCTGCACACAGAAGGTTTTTTACCTTCATGCATAGAATGCATGAAGGTAAAAGACCTTCAGCCTTCACAACCACTTTAACCTCCCTGGAGGTATTCCCGAGTGTAGCTAGGGGTAAAGTTTCAGCACCACAAGCGGTAACCCCGAGCTACCATTGGGAATACCTTGCAGCGTTGCTCCGGGATCTCTTTTGCACTTACCTTGTCCTGCGGTCCCACGATGTCCCTCCTGCAGTGTCCCCGGCAATGTCCTCCGGCCGATGATGGCATCTCTCTTCCAGGTTCCGCTCCCTGCGACGTCGGGACGTACGGGGAGGGAACTGGAGTGAAATTTTAAAATGTCAAAAAGTGACATTCACTAAAATCACATAGTAAAACATTACTGTATCAAACCATTTCACATACGTTTTGTCCCTAGTGTTTTGTCCTGTGCCCTGCCTGCATTTTTACTGTTCTTTCTGCCTGGAAACTGAGAAACGTCCGTGTCCAAAAAGTGTCCCTTTAGGTCAAAAGCGGTTTTAGACCAGCTAGAAAACAGTGATAATAAATCAGAAAGCACTTGCAGAATTGAGTGATAATGATACGTGGGGAAATTCGTCATCAGACACTGAAAACGATTTTGCGACTTTGCTCAGTGATGTGCAAACTTGGCGCTATATTTCAAATTTCAGTGTTTTTGGTTTGATTACATTACTGAATTAAATTCATTATTATTATATTATTATTTTTTATGATTATTTATTAAATTATAATTTATGATTTCGTGTTTCAAATTTTAACATACCCGGGATGTTTACTAGACTCTTGTTCAGACAGATTTCAGTGAGTTATTCCTAAAAATTACAGGCCTACAATAAAAAAACTACATATTTCCATGCAAAAAAATGTACCGCTTTGAGTACAGAAATACTGACATAATCAGACCGCTAGGGAGGTTAAAGGATAAGTTCACCTTTTAGAAAAAAATTATTAATGCACATGCAGGTAAAAAAAATGTGCATTTATTATTTTTGTCTACAGGAGCCTGGAAAGCATTGCACCAGCGATCAGTAGATCACTGATGCCATGCAGATCCCCTGCAGACCTGTCAGAATATCTGCTTGCCATACAGGATGTATGAACAAGTAGATATTCTGACAGAAAGAATGAATGAACTACCACAGTGATTTACACCCGCTGTCACTGGGGGGAGTGAGGAGGACATGTGCTGGAGCATGTTACACCTTAAATACAGATATAACATGCTCCTAAAGGTGACATTTATTCACACTATTTTTGAGTGAAGATTCTAACCTCCTTTGGTAAATCAGCCTCAGTGTGTCAACCTGAGCAACTAAATATATTGGATTTGATTTACTAAAACCAGAGGGTGCAAAATCTGGTGCAGCTCTACATAGAAACCAATCAGCTTCCAGATTTTATTGTCAAAGCTTATTTGAACAACCTGTAGTTAGAAGCTGATTGGCTCCCATGTACAGCTGCACCAGATTCTGAGTGCCACCAGTTTTAGTAAATCGACCCCATTAATTCTGCAAAATAGAAATCTATCTATCCAGGTCTGACTATTGTTTGCTCTGTGATTGGCTGGCAGCAAAGAGAGTGCTCTCTCCATTATTCATAAAAACAGACAGACATCCTATGTAGATTTGGTTGTTTTTGCATTGCTTTGCCATCTACTACTTGTAGGCTGCTTGAAGTGGTCATAATCCCTTACATATACCCAATGAAGTGACTGGCTTCATGTGATACACAGAGCTGAAACAAATCCTCATATGTTGTACCTGTTTATTTGCAGTCCTTTACTCTGCAGACTCCTAAAGCTGTCAGTGTACACAGCATTTCTGAGATTCAGAAGGCAGGGGGTGGGGATATAAAGTCACACACTGCACAGCACAAAGAGGACAGCTAAGTGTAATCTGAGACCTGAGTGGAGGGAATGGACACTTCCCTCTACCCAGTCTCATAGGGAAACATGCACAGCTAGGGCTGTCAATTGCCTGCTGTGTGCTGGGGTCATCTCCTATTTCTTTGGCTTCTGTGGTGTGGACATATATTTTCAAAGGAGACTCATGCAGGTAGCAAAGGGAGGATAGAACAGCCAGAAATCAAACTAAGTGCTTTAAACTGAGGCAAGTACACCCTAGAGAAGGATATGTTTTGTTCATTTTTCATTTCAGAGGTTTACAACCACTGAACCAGCTTTGTACAATTCAACCTGAACTTCAAAGCCTTCTGCAGATGGTGCATGGTATGCCATGCATGGTCATCTAGCTTTCAGGGCAGAGATGCTAAACGGTGCACCCTCCAAAAATGTATGTGTCAGCAAAAATTCCCTCCCTCTCCCCCCATAAAGTGTGAGCACTAATCTGCACGCTTGCCCCCAAGCATAAATTCCCTTTGCAAGCCAAAATTCTCCCCTGACAAAAAAATTTCCCCTCTTTCAGTACAAATCCTCTTCTCACTGAAATTCCCTACCCAGCACAAATTGTTGCCCACACCATCCCCCCCCCCCCCAATTAAAATCCTCTCCCTCTCCAAATCCCCCCTCCTAGCACAAATCCTCTACCCATCAATTTTTCCCTCTTAACATAAATCCTCTCTCCCTCCAAATCCCCCCTGCTTGCACAAATCCATCCCCTCCCCAAATTTTACCTCCTAGCACAAATCCCCACCAATCATCTCTACTAACACAAATCCCCCCCAAGTCCCCCTTCCTAGCACAAACTCCCCTCCTATCAGTGGCATATTTACCACAAGGCAAACAAAGTGTATGCCTAGGGCACCAATTTTCAGGGAGGTGGCGCGATGGGGACAAGTGGCAGGGATGGGGACCTGGTCTGGATTGGAGGATTGCGGGCAATGGGCTGTGGTGATGGCTGGGCGGTCCTGGGGGGGGTGGTGCTGGTGGGGTGGGGGGCGCCCAACGTTAGTGTTGCCTAGGGCAAATGCTCTTGCCCCTAGTACAAATCTAGCACAAATGCTCTTCTCCCCATCTCCCCTCCCAGCACAAATCCTCCCTCCTAGCACAAATGCTCTTCCCCCCTTCTTCCCTCCCAGCACAAATCCCCCCTCCTAGCACAAATTATTCCCCCCCCCCATCTCCCCTCCCAGCACAAATCCCCCTCCTAGCACAAATGCTCTTCCCCCCATCTTCCCTCCCAGCACAAATCCCCCTTCCTAGCACAAATGCTCTTCTCCCCCATCTCCCCTCCCAGCATAAATCCCCCCTCCTAGCACATCACCCCTAGCACAAATCCTCTCCCCCCTCCAGATTTTGCCTTCTAAAATAAATCATATTCCACTGCCACCACCAAATTTCCTCTTCAGCTCCCCCAGTGCCCCCTCCTAGCACATATTTCCCCCCAAACCCCCCTCCTAGCACTTATCTATTTCTCCCTCCCCCTCCCAGCACAAATGTTTGCTATTCTGAAGCTGCTGTCACAACACCTGCCAGCTTGAAGGTAGGAACTCTCCAAGCAACACCCCCCAGTTCACATGATACCACATCACCCAGGGCAGCCACCCCTCCTGCCCACCCCTTGTCCCAGCCCTGGTGCATGGCCATTGCAAGACTTGGTTTTATTGCTTGTCTTTATTTCTATTGATGTTCACTAAAAATAATAGTAAAGATTTGGATTTAACAAAGGTAAATGGTACAGGAGTTGTTAGGAGATACATTATGACATTAAAGGGAAAAAGGCAATAAATCAATATATGCCAAAAATTAGTTCTGAGTGCTTATAACGTTAACCATGCCACCATTCTAGATTTTAATAGGATTATATTACACAGGCTACTACTTTGTGAAATATGAAACTCGGCAATGAGTAGGCGATCACAAAAGAAGCTTAAAATGCCCTACATTTTACTTTTAGTGACAGTGGTTATACTAAAGAGTGGTTATTACATACAGAATATAAATGTAGTGCTGTTTTACTATAACATGTACAGTAAGTTCATTACATCGTAACTGGTTTTCTGAAAGAGCAGTGCAAAAAAAAAAGGATGAAAAATTGGATAAGGCCAAGAGGAAATTTGTTCTGGTTTCATCATAACTCAACTTTGAAAGTTTATTGCAAGCACTTCAGATAAATGTGTTTTTTGATTGGTTGCTTTCACAGGACTGCACAGACTTTCTTTAAGCAGAACTTCGCCCTCTCAGTCAACATTGACTATTTTTAATCCTTATGCTGCTAGCATTAGTAAATAGATAGTAAAGTATATTTATGCTGTTACACAGTTAATATTTATGTTAATGTACTTGAGAATTCATATAGTTTATTTTTTGTACCATTTCCTATGGACATTTCTATAGTTAGTTATATGCTGCCATCCAGTGGCCTTATTTGTTTTTCATATTACCTCCCTGAGATCTATGACACAATTCCTGTGCATATGAATCTCCTCCCTTCTTCTTGAGTACATCACTTCCTGTGTCATGGATGCAGCTAACAGACCACATGTAACAGGGACACATGTATTCTGCATAGTACGCTACAGAAATTATCATCTTTTGACCGCATAATACTGGAAACCATTCATTCTGCTGTATCCTGTTGTCACATGTACAGAATAAAGCAACTTCTGGATGAACACAGTATTGGTGAGTTCAAGCTATCTGATAAGGATTGCCCACAGTGATTATATCTGCTTATACAGGCTAGGCAGAGAGGTCTCACAAGGGATAAATTGCTATCACAACAATCTGAGTCAGAATAATATTCTATTTACCTGTTTTATTGAGAAAAAAAACTATGTTTGACTTTTTTGCTATAAAGCATATCCAGTAAAAACATTTTAAAAATCATTTTTCGTCATAAATGTAGGCCAAAATGTATTCTGCTACATGTCTTTGCTAAGAAAAAGCCCACATATGTAAATTAATTGGTTTACGTGAAAGTTATAGCGTCTACAAATGGAGGTATACATGCTGGAATTTTTTTTTTTATACTAGTAATGGCTGCGATCAGCGACTTATAGCGGGACTGCGGCTGCATTCTGACACTGGAGGGGGGGGCTGACAAACTGCAACTGACATCCCAATGATACTAATACAGTGATCAGCACTAATAAAAAGCACTGACAGTGTACTAATGACACTGGGCAGGAAGGGGTTAACATCTGGGGTGATCAAAGGGTTAACTGTGTGCTGTTTTACTGTGTTGTTTGAGTTTTACTAGAGAAACATGCTGCTTTGTATTGCTCTGCAGAGCAATACAAAGCAGCATGTCTGTGCTGACAGGGGTTAACATCTGGGGCAATCAAAGGGTTAACTGTGTGCTGTTTTACTGTGTGTGTTGTGTGAGTTTTACTAGGGAAACATGCTGCTTTGTATTGCTTTGCTATGCAGAGCAATACAAAGCAGCATGTCCGTGTTGACAGGGGAAAGATCTGTGTTGTTTACGCT